ACTATAAACACGAAATGACAGGTTAAATCGTAGTTATAATAGTCAATCAGCTGCTCATTGCCAACCTATTTCCAAGCGTACACGGATTACGTGCATAATAGAACCACGCTGTTTTGTGTTGTTTCGTTGGAATCCTGATGTGCGGCAAAGTATAAACCGTGCGGCAAAGTATAAACCGTACGGCAAAGTATAAATATGCAGCAATTAGCAGCTTTCTGTACTATAAACAGTACAAGGAAGCCAACTTTGTCGGGTGACTGTAGGAAAAATAAATTACATATTTAAAGCAACGCAATTTGGTCATAAAAGGTTGTAAAAATTAAACATAACAATACATTTTAAAATTAAATTTTATATTTTATGCAAAGTAGGCAGTAGCAAAATACAAGCTTTCAACTTACATTAATATTATTATGGTAACTAAAATTAAACATCACAAATGCTATGAAATTAAAAATCTAAGAACAAAAATAGACTATCACCGGTTTAATTTGGCTTTGAAATCCTTTACCCGATTCAAAAGCGTACATTATTAAATCAAATCGCTACTGAAAAGTGCATGGTATGACTTAAATTATGGCCCTATTTAGTCGGACCAATCATGAGCACATAGAAGAGCAGTATTCAGGAGCAGGATAATTCAGGGTCAATATGGTAACTACACAGTAAGTGAAATATGTGCGTCAGTTCTCCACAAATTAAGAAGATATCATGAGTGAAATATTTATTTGTTATGGGATCAGTGGCGTAGCCAGGTTTAAAGCGCCCTAAAGCATAATTGATTAAGCGCCCCCCCCCCTTCCCTTAACATTAAGCATAACCATACATATTGTTTCCCTCATAATAGTATTTAATAGTATTCCCTATATAAGTATTTCCCTCAATTGAGCACCGCGGCGACGATTTACGATTCATCTATGAATATTATAATTAAAGACAGAAATGTAATAGTTTATAATGATAATAATATACGTTTTTAAAAATATACCTGATTAGAGATAAATGTTATTTTAATTTCGTATTTATATGTACATAAAAAATAAAAGTTTTATTTTCTTGAAGGAGTTCTGCCCCCCAGAGCCTTCCGCCCTGGAGCGACCGCTCCACTCGCTCCACGGTCGCTACGCCACTGTACAGGATTTTAGTTTTGGATTTAAGATAAGGCGAAAAATACTATGAAAATATTCAGCATATAATCAAAGAATAACACTGCGGATCAAAGAGCAATTAATTGTTCTTATAATGTCAACACTTCTGTACACTTCTGAATAACACTTCCATAATTGTGAACCAATATAATTGTTATTAAAGTCTAAGTACTAGTCCCTGCATATTCCATTATATACATTGCACTATTGGGTAGCATTGATTTTTAATGAGTAATTAATAGGCCCTAACAGTTTTAAAATAAAAAATTGCATCAAAATATTTATAGAAAAAAGTAATTTAAGTATTGTGCTTTACTACAAAATGAGTATGTTAGAAACTCCTAAACATAAACCAAAGCAAAAGCTACGAAGAGAAAATAGGTGATTTTTAAAAGGACATTTAAAAAATGAAATATATTAAGTTCCTTCAGTTGTAAATCAATAGAAATTAAACATCTGTAAATACCTAGCCCTTTGTTTGTTCACCATTTACAAAACTTGTATGCTATCTCTAAGCTTACAAAGTAATGAGAATTGAAAATATTTATAAAAAAAAGGATAGGTAAATAATTTTGATAATTGAAGTTACAAGTTGTGGGTCCGTAGTTATAATCTATTTATTTGCTTTTAACTAGTATTGTCTGTTGAAAAATAAATACAGTTCTAGGCCGATTTATCACTAATCCAGTATATACTTGTTTTCTTGGTTAAAAAATAATTAGGGATGGACGAGATTGGATTTTTAGTTCGAGACGAGACGAGACGAGATCGAGACGGGATTTCCCTTCTCATACACAACGGGAAATGCACGTTCGGAATTTTTACCTGATTTTGTAACATTGTTAGATGACTGTTTAAATAGGCAAGAATATTTACAATCTTTTATTAAAAAACATCAGCATAACATTTTTTTATTAATCACGCCTAACTTATTAAAAATGCCTACGATTAGGAAACATAGTGATATCAGTTAGGATTAGAGTTCAACTTATCCTAAAATAAAATAAATCATTTTAAAATAAAATATTAATTTTTATAAAATAGTTACTTGTTTTGACTTTTTTTATAGTAATAAAACGCAACTAGAACATGCTCCTGTATTGCGGGTATTGCATTGACTTTCTGCAGGCGTTTTTAATATTTTTTTATTTTTTTTTATTCTCGTCTCGATAAAAATCTCGGCCAAAAAGAAATCTTGTCTCGTTTAACGAGATTTAAAATTTCCTGAAAATTTCCCGAAATTTCGAGACTTGACCATCCCTATTAAAAATCATAGCAATTCAAACAACAGATTAATTTATCACATATTTGCAAATTTGTTATACAAGCTGGTACTGAGCACATTTATTAATAAAGCGCTTTATATTGATCTAATTTTAAATTAAATCATATAATTGTATCAAAACTAATATTAATTGCTCACAAAAGCCATTCTTTTTTAGGTACTAATTTTTTCACTTGAACACAACAATTATATTAAAAACGTACAACACTTAACTTACACAAAATATACATCAAGAAAAATTCATGATTCCATTCAAAATACAACTTTTATATATATTTTTGGGTCTCAACTTTGTTTTCAAAACTTGTATGCTTTCCCGTTTCAATGTCGTTTCAAATGTGATTTTAACTGCAATTTAGATTCAAGGCACATAACTGTATTAGAGCAAATTAACAAAAGGAGACAGAAGACAATTGAGTTTCAATTTTTGAGACTTATGGGTAGGTTTTAAAGGTTGTATTGTATGAAATCAATTGGTTTTCAATTTCCATGAAACTTGATTTTTAGGACATTGTTGAAACAATGTTGTGAGAACATAGTTATAAATTAAAAGACAAACTTAAAAATATTTGCACTGTTGCACCAATAAAAATTCTAACTTCTTAAGGCTATTACTACAAGTATTTCAGCAGTTAAAATGGAAGGTATAAAAGTACAAAAATAAAACGTGACAAAATATGACTAGATTAAAGACCTGCGAGGCGATGCTAAAGGTGGAGTGGTGGCTGATGGTGTTGTGGCATCTTGCATGATGGCACTGGACATGCTCACAACGACATAGAGGCAACACAGGATCAGTGGTCCGATAATAGCTCCCTCCATACCCATACAGAACAACCCTCCAGCAACTGACAGTCCTGTCAGATAGGGGTGACCTCTATAACAACAATATATAAGTTACATGATGGCACTGGACATGCTCACAACGACATAGAGGCAACACAGGATCAGTGGTCCGATAATAGCTCCCACCATACCCATACAGAACAACCCTCCAGCAACTGACAGTCCTGTCAGATAGGGGTGACCTCTATAACAACAATATATACGTTACATGATGGCACTGGACATGCTCACAACGACATAGAGGCAACACAGGATCAGTGGTCCGATAATAGCTCCCTCCATACCCATACAGAACAACCCTCCAGCAACTGACAGTCCTGTCAGATAGGGGTGACCTCTATAACAACAATATATATGTTACATGATGGCACTGGACATTCTCACAATGACATAGAGGCAACACAGGATCAGTGGTCCGATAATAGCTCCCTCCATACCCATACAGAACAACCCTCCAGCAACTGACAGTCCTGTCAGATAGGGGTGACCTCTATAACAACAATATATATGTTACATGATGGCACTGGACATTCTCACAATGACATAGAGGCAACACAGGATCAGTGGTCCGATAATAGCTCCCTCCATACCCATACAGAACAACCCTCCAGCAACTGACAGTCCTGTCAGATAGGGGTGACCTCTATAACAACAAATATATACGTTACATGATGGCACTGGACATGCTCACAACAACATAGAGGCAACACAGGATCAGTGGTCCGATAATAGCTCCCTCCATACCCATACAGAACAACCCTCCAGCAACTGACAGTCCTGTCAGATAGGGGTGACCTCTATAACAACAAATATATACGTTACATGATGGCACTGGACTTGATCACAACGACATAGAGGCAACACAGGATCAGTGGTCCGATAATAGCTCCCTCCATACCCATACAGAACAACCCTCCAGCAACTGACAGTCCTGTCAGATAGGGGTGACCTCTATAACAACAATATATATGTTACATGATGGCACTGGACATTCTCACAATGACATAGAGGCAACACAGGATCAGTGGTCCGATAATAGCTCCCTCCATACCCATACAGAACAACCCTCCAGCAACTGACAGTCCTGTCAGATAGGGGTGACCTCTATAACAACAATATATATGTTACATGATGGCACTGGACATTCTCACAATGACATAGAGGCAACACAGGATCAGTGGTCCGATAATAGCTCCCTCCATACCCATACAGAACAACCCTCCAGCAACTGACAGTCCTGTCAGATAGGGGTGACCTCTATAACAACAAATATATACGTTACATGATGGCACTGGACATGCTCACAACGACATAGAGGCAACACAGGATCAGTGGTCCGATAATAGCTCCCTCCATACCCATACAGAACAACCCTCCAGCAACTGACAGTCCTGTCAGATAGGGGTGACTTCTATAACAACAAATATATACGTTACATGATGGCACTGGACTTGATCACAACGACATAGAGGCAAGACAGGATCAGTGGTCCGATAATAGCTCCCTCCATACCCATACAGAACAACCCTCCAGCAACTGACAGTCCTGTCAGATAGGGGTGACCTCTATAACAACAAATATATACGTTACATGATGGCACTGGACATGATCACAACGACATAGAGGCAACACAGGATCAGTGGTCCGATAATAGCTCCCTCCATACCCATACAGAACAACCCTCCAGCAACTGACAGTCCTGTCAGATAGGGGTGACCTCTATAACAACAAATATATACGTTACATGATGGCACTGGACTTGATCACAACGACATAGAGGCAACACAGGATCAGTGGTCGGATAATGGCTCCCTCCATACCCATACAGAACAACCCTCCAGCAACTGACAGTCCTGTCAGATAGGGGTGACCTCTATAACAACAATATATAATTACATGATGGCACTGGACTTGATCACAACGACATAGAGGCAACACAGGATCAGTGGTCCGATAATAGCTCCCTCCATACCCATACAGAACAACCCTCCAGCAACTGACAGTCCTGTCAGATAGGGGTGACATATGACGTAAATTGTCATATTGTCAGTCCTAGGGTTAACTGGAAAATTTACAGATCAATCCAGGTTTTTTTCACAAATTAATTGGTTATTAATTTATTATTTATCATAAATCACGGTATTAGGGTTTTACAGTTGATTGGGCAGCCTGTTTTTCAGTTTCAACCATTATACTATAATAAGGGTGTAGCATAGAGCACAAGGGCCTAGATTTTTTAGGATTTTTTGAGAGGATAGCAGGCTTACCTGAATGGGAAAGAGTCCAAACTGGCACAGGAAACACAAAACAAAACTTTACACTATATACACAAAACATTAGAATATTTCATTGTCACTGACAGCATTTTCAACTAAGGAAGAGAGAGTTTTCTAGATGTCCAAAATGGTGGACATTAGTGTCTGTCGAGTCTTACTCATTTATCTCAGTGTAGATGGTTGCGTCTACGAACAGTGTAGGCAAGAACTGGCAGACAGCGAGTGTGATTGCATGGAACTTCTTGCCTTGTGCCAGCCACAAGTCCAACACTGCCGGCAGACAGGCCCAGTACGTACCCAGTGCAGGAACTACTGCCAACATGGCTGCCAAAACTGTAGAAGAAATCACAGCTGTAGCAATAGTAGGAGTCAGCAATAGTAGTACTAACTTTTGAACACAGACGTAGCCATGCCCAACTATATGAACCAGCAGTAACCTTTTTTTACAGAACATACTTGAATGAGCCACTCACAGAGTATATGCTATTGCCTAAAACTATATTTTCACCCATATTTTTGTTACTGTGATAGTTTATGTGTTATGGAAGATTCTACAGTTTACAATAAGTTATGCTTCCAGTTTACGTTAGTTAACATTTATGTATATTTGAGAGCGATCCTCAATTTACGTCTGAGCAGTGGCTGAATTTAACTAGGTACATTTGTTTATCATTTAGCAGTCCCACCCAAAACTCTTATTATTAGAACCACAATAACATGTAGAAAATTCATTGTTCAAAGGAATTAAAAGTAAAGTTTATTCACTGATCTCTATAGTAAGTCAATCATATTTGCATATTTTTATGACGCTGATAAGGGTCAAGGATACAAGAAAGGGCTGGATAAAAGCAAATTCAATGTGATCTTTAGGAGAGTGTCATATCCCTGGATCTGTCTCTATCTCTGCTATCTCTATTACCAACTTTATCTAAAATTTATGAAAAGGCAGTTTACATACAACTAACACATTTTCTTGAAGAACACCATCTCGTGGATAGCTCCCAACATAGGTTTTAGCGGAAAATCAATGACAACTGCTAGTGTTTCTTTTATAGAATCAGTGATAGACTCAATAGATGCTGGTGAACCATGTGTTGGAATCTTCATGGACCTGTCAAAGGCTTTTGACACTGAGGATCATGAAATTCTTCTTGCCAAATTAAAATTACTTGGCTTGGATCCTCATTCCTTAAATTGGTTTAGTTCATACCTAAATAATAGATATCAGTTTGTTCAGATTACTCAATTGGCCAAAAACAATAAAATTATAAATAATAAATCAGAATTGAAACCAGTAAAATTTGGTGTGCTTCAGGGATCTGAGCTGGGACCACTCTTGTTTATTTGTTATTTGAAAGATATTTCTAATCATTATCATACTCAGATAACACAAACCTTTGCCTATATTCTGATTCAAATCTTAAAGTGTCGGGTAATAATTTAGAACAATTATTAGAAATTTTATCATTCACTGAAATAGGAAATATTATTACCTCCACTTAAAATATTGAGAAAACTAACTAAATTTCCTTCAAAACAGCCCAATCAAGGATAAAAAAAGCAGTGGTGCAGGGGGGCCCGCGAGCTAGGGGGCCCGTGAGCCTTGACCGGGATTTTTGGTAAATTTTACCGGCACTTGGGCCCGCGATAGTGTGACACACTCAGCCACATGGGTCCCCTATCATAACAATATTTATATGAGAATTAAAATACATTTTTTATGACGAAAATTTGTTCAAACCTATAGTTCAAGTAGTTTACAACAGCTAAACTAACACTATTACTTGACCGATCAATATAAATTATGAATTATTCTGTTGTCTTTTATTCTTAAACGTGAGCAAACTTAATATTTAATTACCACTTGAATATTTTAATTCCTCTGCAATCTATATAGATATAATTTAACGGTGTTTCTTTGAAAATAAATTATTATTCTTTTTTGACCCGACCCAATTAAATTGGTTTAGATCCTACCTATTTCTTTGGCAACAATATGTTGAGATAGAACATTATAAATCAGATTTCTCAAGTAAATATAATTACATCCAAAAGTTTAATTCACAGATGCGGAGGGTCCGCCATGGAGTTCCGCAGGGGTCAGTGTTGGGGCCCCTCTTGTTCCTAATATACTTGAGGGGTCTGCCGGACTTGATGCCTGTGGGCGGGGCGGCCTGTTTGTATGCTGACGATACTAATATTACCATTTGTGGAAATTCAAAAGAAAGTATTGAGGCATCATCATTGGTCAGTCTCTCCATCATAAAAAAATTCTTAGATAGCAAAAACCTTCTTTTAAACCCTGAAAAATCTAATTTTGTATCATTATCTACAAAACAAAACAAAAACAAATTAAATCCAGACATAATCTTAGAAGATTATAAATTACAACAGGTAGAACATACAAAATTTCTTGGTTTAATAATTGATAAAAATCTAGCCTGGGACAAACATGTTGATCATGTTATCAAAAAAATGTCGTCAGGAGTATCTGCTTTAAGACAAATGTATAAAGTTTGCAGCTTAAAAACATTAATATCAATATATTATGCCTTAGTTCATTCTAATTTAGCTTATGGAATCAGTATATATGGAGCAACTACATCAAAAAACTTAAAACGGATTTTATCGTACCAGAAAAGGGCAATTAGGGCAATGTTTAATTTGAAAAGGAAAGATTCGGTAAAACATATTTTTACCGATCTTGGAATACTAACTGTTCATGGACTATATATCTTGGAAACTATTATTTATGCAAAAAATATTACAAAAACTCAGGTATCAAACAAAATTAGTCATAATTATAACACTCGTTCTCAATCTCAAATTGATAGACACAATCTAGAATTTTATAAAAAGAAAACAAAATTCACAGGAAATAAATTTATGTCCCATCTTCCAAAAATACTTCTAACTGAAAATGATACAAAAAAGTTTAAAAATTGTCTGAAACAGTATTTGATTAAAATTGCCCCTTATTCTCTTGAAGAGTTTTGGGAGAACAAATAAAATAAATATTCTGTCTTATTATTAGTTCTTAAATGTAAAACATTTTATTTTGTAAGATCTGGCTCTATTCCTGTACAATTGTACTTAAATGAATAAAGGATATTTTGATTTGATTTGATTTGATTTGACCCGATCTTGGCCCGAACAAATCTCTGACCCGACCCGGTCTCACATGCCTTCCACTAGCCCGACCCGACCCGAAAAAATCGGGGACCCGCACACCCCTACCGAAAATTTAGACATGCGATCCAAAACAAGCGTCGTGGAAAATTTAGCAAAAAAGTGTTGTTTTTTCATGACAATCCGTCCTCACACGGCCAATCGTACCTGAGAGTTATTGGATGGTTTTGGATGGGAAGCTTACAATCATCAGCCGTATAGTCCATATTTAGCGCTGAGTGACTACCATCTATTCCCAGTGATGAAGACGTGGCTTGCTACGCAACGCTACGCTGAACTCCATGCCGGTGTAAACCAATGGTTTAACTAACATGCGGCAGATTTCTTTAAAGAGGACATTGAAAAGCTTCTACGACGCTATGATAAATGCCTTGATTTAAATGTTGATTATGTACAAAAATAGCCTAAAAAATGTATATAATAAAATTATTTTTTCATTTTGTCTATATACTACTTTCTGGATAGTGCTCGTATTTTACGTAGATAATTTGATGCTTAAACATAGCAAACAATGATTATTACAATTTCTCTTTTAGAATACAGTAGGGTTTTTGTTTTTATGGATTCACTTAAACGATCACCTTCATAAGTAAGAGTGTGGGGAAATACATTACAAATATTTTACACTAACTATTTAAAAATATAACTTGCCTGTTGTTGAACAGATTTTAACTGGGCTGTACTTATTTGGAAACCTAATTTAACAAAAAGAAGCAATACAAATTTTAATTTTATAGGGTCTAACTTGTTTTTTTTGTTGTTGTTGTATAATCATGAGTATTTTTTGTGACCAACCTGAAGGAATATAGACGATGTTCATTTGAAACAGGTTATGGATCAGCCACGTCCACATTCCGTAGAAAACAGCCAGTTTGAATGAAGCAGTCAGTACCTCATTGACTGCATTCTCCATAGCAAAAGCCAGTCTGGACAGAAAAATAGATCATGTTTTAATACAGAGTCTGCATATAATTTGTTATTATGCTACATACTGAATTGCCTTTGAGTAGAGGTATGCGAGCGGCTCGCTACAAGCTAGAGAGATAGAGCCTAAAGTCGGAAAATCGAGCTCGAGCCGAGCTTTTACAGTCGCGATCTCAGAAGACATGATTTTCTACGCCTTTATTTAATAAATGATGTTTTCTTTTGTGTTGGTGCCTTATTTAGTCCTCTTTCCTACAAAAAACAACTAGGTATCCAACTTAATATAGCTAGTCCAGCCCAGCGTAAACTTTACGTTCAACAAACAACCACACATATCGTCATTCGGCAGAGCTAGCAAGACTACTACTACTACTTTCATACAACAGTCAACAATATAAAAGTATTGAATGAATCTATCGAGTTACAGTAGTCGATAGTCAATAAGGGAGTCTTGTGATTAGTAGATTGGAGATATTATAAAGTACAGTATTAGATTTAGTTTGAATTGCCATCAAAATATTTTATACCAAAATATTTTAATACAACAAATAAAAATGAATGATTATTATTGCATGGTATTATTTAACTTTAATCGGTTAAGTATTGGTGTTATTTTTAGAAGCCGATAAGTTACTGCAAGGAACATCGATGCATCGGAATAACGCAATCTCATTGGGCCTTGGGCCTTGTCAGAAAGATCAGGGCCACTACTGAAGTGTTGCCAGATGGACGATAATTTTTGTGTACTTTTACAACTACTGTGGTGACAAAAACGAAATATTTACTTTCCCAAAATTAACTACACATGTTCTAACGAGTTTACACAAACATTATTTAAATTAGTCAACTATTGAATTTTGTTTACGAATTAAGAGCTATAGCCATTTTAAGATCATTTTGCTGACATTCACCATAATAGTGTAATGTTAAATATGGCAACGTCACTCGTCAGCCCTACAAAACATCTGTTTGATGGGAAAACAAAGCTGACACAAGTATCCAAGTAAGTATCCAAAAATAGACACCGAATGAATGAGCAGAACAACTAGAGGGAGAAGAGACAAGAGAGAGAGAGAATTAATTAATTAATTGAATTAATTGATTTTATTTTATTTGAATAAATAAGAACGCCTTCGCAAAGGAAACGCAACTACAACACGCTCCTGTATTTCGGGTATTGCATTGACTTTCTGCAGGCATTTTTAATTTTTTTTTTCTATTCTCGTCTCGATAAAAATCTTGCCCAAAAAGAAATCTTGTCTCATGTAACGAGATTGAAAATTTCCCGAAATTTCGAGACTTGACCATCCCTACATTAAATAAATACCACGATAAAGATAAATGAAGATAATGCAAAACATATAAAAATAATACTTCCTAGAAGTGTGCTATTTTTAAATTTTTGGTCAAGCCAAACTCGAGGTTATATCGTGATCATCTAACACAGTCGTAGAGACACTATCATCGTTTTCTGCGATCACTTAAAAATCCTGAATATCTCACTCAGTAACAGAAACATCACCACTGTCTTTTGTGGTCGTGACAAAATCCTGATATTGTTCAGCGTTAACGGAAACGTTATAATCGTCTCCCGCGATCACAGTAAAGTTATCATCATCTTTCTCGATCGTAGCTTAATTAAAATAATTTCCCACGGTTATCCTCGTCAAGCAATATTTTTTGGACATCATCACTGTTTCCTGCGGTCACGGAAACGTCATCGTCGTCTCCCACAGTCACCGAAACGTCATCGTCGTCTCCCACGGTCACCGAAACGTCATCGTCGTCTCCCACTGTCACGGAAACGTCATTGTCGTCTCCCGTGGTCACGGAAACGTCATCGTCGTCTCCCACAGTTACCGAAACGTCATCGTCGTCTCCCGCTGTCACAGAAACGTCATTGTCGTCTCCTGTGGTCACGGAAACGTCATCGTCGTCTCCCACGGTCACCGAAACGTCATCGTCGTCTCCCGCTGTCACAGAAACGTCATTGTCGTCTCCCGTGGTCACGGAAACGTCATCGTCGTCTCCCACGGTCACAGAAACGTCATCGTCATCTCCCGCTGTCACAGAAACGTCATTGTCGTCTCCCGTGGTCACGGAAACGTCATCGTCGTCTCCTGCGGTCACGGAAACGTCATGCGCGATCGCGGCAAAATCACTAACAAATCCCACGGCAGTTTGGGTATCATCATCGTCTCCCATGGTCACGGAAACGTCATCTTCATGCGCGATCGCGGCAAATTGACTTCAAAATAATAGGCCTACTACGTTTTTGTTTGATATTTTTAGTCTGTCAGAGATGAGTGACTTATATTATTCTTATAAATGTAATGAGTGACGAGGATAGCCCTAGTACCCAAAACCTTCAAACTTAAGGCAGCACTTCATTCCAAGTGATTATTTTAAAATACCTTATTGCATATTGATGATTTTAACTTATGATACATGTAATTGTATTAAGTTATCTGTTTTATAAATAAATTTCTTTTTATACATTTTTTATAATAATTTTTTTGTAATTAATTATTGTTTAATTAGAATTTATAATTATTTTTAATTTTATTTTTTTTATTAATTTTTTATAATAAATTTCTGTTTCATTATTGAGTTGAAATAACTCTTATCATCAACTCAATACTAAATTTTTTTACTCATATACCGTTTTATTGAAAAAATTGCCTTTAAAAAAAAAAAATAAGGTGAAATTTACTAATAAAATTATTTTTTAAAGCTTTTTTTCAAAAGCTCGGCTCGATTGAAAATCTCACGCTCGCAGACCTCTTCTTTGGATCATAGAAATTTAAGTTACACAACTAGTAAATTTTTAGGTCTTACTCTTACTGAGAATTGATCACAGGATCAACAATACAGATAAAATCTTCCGTGGTTACTCTTTTAGTTTTAACTGTTAAAATACAGTCCAAAACTAATTAACATTACACAATGAAGGCATGTGTGCGTTTAAGGCTTTAACTGACACAAAGTGAAGATGTCTTATTATAGGATAAAAAGATCAGTTCAACGTTTAGCGGCCTATTTTGTGTACCTATTAGCCAAATGGATTGCTTGATTATTGAATGATTGATTAGTTAGTAATCATTGTCTAAACTATTTCCACAATTAATTAATATTGAGATAATTCTATAGTTGGTTGTTTATAAGTATTATTAGTTTTACATTTACATTTAACTTTGCATTATCACACAGGCTTTTTACAATAAAACCTACCTTTTTCCAAAGACGGGACTGATAGCAGTGATGAGCTCGACTGGCTTGTACAGCTGACGACTAGAACTGAGCAAATAGAAGAGAGCCGTCAGGAAGACAATCTGTGATAGAAAAACAAACCCATTGAAATTAAAACAATCTGGACTTTTAGGATATTTGACAACATACTAAACGGCTAAGTATTAGTTAGTTTGAGTTAATCTTGTGATTCCTCATTGCGAAAAAATAGGTGCATAAGGGTAGAAATAGAAATCATATCCCAAGAGAACACTACAAAATCTGTTTCATACTTCATGGCTATGTGTTTTAGGTAAGCCCAAACTTGTTAGGTGTTTTTGTTGCACCGGATGGCGGACGGAACTAAAATTAAATTGTCTTCAGCTGATCCATAAGGATGAGAGTTCTACTAAGGGAGTATGTTTCATCTATGCTACTACTTACCATACTGATACAGAAGTTCAACACTGCAAAGCTGTGAGTGAAAACAACAGTGAAGACCGTAAGGAAAGCACTGAGAACAAGACTGGCGTTACCTCTGATAAGTTCCCACACGCTCTCTAGTCCTGATGTGAGCATCACCATGTTGTTCTGGGCCCAATCAGTCACAGCTCTCATGCTTACTAGCTCTGCAGCACAGAAACAACAATGGAAATATACTGACTAAAATACATCCACGAAAAATGTTGTACTGTATATCAACTTCAGTACAACCATTGTCCATCTCAATATATTGGATTTACCACCACCAGCTTTAGAACAAGAATTAACAATCATGGGACAGACATAAAAAACAACCACCCAGAAAAACCAGTGCCTATTGATGGTGCCAGCCACAATATACAAGATTTAAACAGCTGTTTTAATTAAAAAATAATAAGATCATTCCCTCCCACCTGTAACCCATCACAACTAAGGAGATGGGAACTTTCATATCAATGGTTTACCAAATCCAGGGAGCCCCCAAACCACAATCTCAGATAAAAACTTTCTTTTCCCTTTCCATACCTAAAGCAGGCTTGGACTCTTGTGTAAATAATAATCAATTACTGTATTCATTTGCAAATTCATTGTGTTGGCAAAACTGCTTCCTTTACCAGTGAAAGACTTTCAGAATCTAATGTCACTCTCAATGTTGAGAAAGGGGCCAGTGGCTTCGAATATTCAGTGTTTCTTTTGTGTTACTTTAGAGAAGTGGAATGCCAACAATTTTTATGGTAAGCCTGCTTATCCTGTCCTTTGTCTCCTTAATTATAATTGACAAAGTCAGGATTTACAGTTTTCAGACCAAGTCTTAGCATAACAAAATATTCTTATAGACTAAATATTTACAACACATACTATTCACATTGACTGTACCGAAATGAAAACTAAACTAAAGGAAAATTTCTCCCAGTTTAAAATATTCATCCAGACTATAACAAGGGTTTTGAAGCAGGTAATTATAAAATAAAAGTCTAAAATTTGTTAATTGAATGAATATTTATATTATTTTTTACTGACTTATAATATACTTCAATTGATAAAGTTATGAGGCAATTACTAGTTTTACTAAGGCGATGGGATTCTAACAACGCGGTATTTTTAAGACGAGTGTCGTGACTTTGATTATTAAATTGAAGATATTCAGGGGATTTTAATATATAAAGAATCAGATCATAAATTAACAAATTTACAACAGTCTGAATTTGCAGATCTATAAAAAGCGTTTTGAAATGCTCAGGGTGCATCCCAGTCATAGCTCTTACACAGTGGCGGCACTTTAGCTGAACAGTAGAGCGGGCCTGTGGTGGGATCATTCCGGGCCGTCTGGGGGCTATGGAAAACCCCCTTTGAGGGGGGGGGGGGGGGTCCAAGGGCCCTACATTTTTTAATAATAACTCACAATTCAGAGGATTGCAGTACCGTTGAAGTAGGCCTAACCCCATTTGAACCACGAACACCCACTTCAAAATAACATCACCACACCATCAAACAAAAACCATACGCCTTTAAATTTAAATGATCACTAAAACCGACAAAAGAGATTTATTTGAGTATGGCTACTCTAATAAATCTGTAATAATATCTCGAAACTAACTAACAGTGTTAACTTATTAGTTCATAAAATATTTCATACAACTACAACCCATTTGCCGGTTGGTGTACAACATGAACATACACGAGCGGCGGGAATCGGGATGTAAACAAAGCTACACTAGCCCTCAGCACTCCCAGCGATAATATTGAGAATCAACGTGGGCCAGCTCAAATCAGCCCTTCTGCTTTATATACCAATGCATTGTTCCCTGATAGTCAAGCGCCGCCGGCTGGCGTTGCCTTGTCCATTACGTTCTTATGGTGGCTAGAAGGGCCCGAAATCCGTAGCCCTCCAATGTGTTACGAGATAATTGCATTGTATTTCAACAAAAGTTATGACCCGTTGAAAGTTCAAAATTAATTTACATTGCAGTTTATTGAATAATTTCAATCAAATAACCTATTAAGAATTTAAAAATTAAAATATACTTTGGTGTTTATTTTGGGTGGGCCCGGCCCACTTGGCCCTTATGGAAGTGCCGCCACTGCTCTTACAGCCCTTTTTTGGAGAGTCAAAATTTCTTTTGTTATACCACTAACACCCTCAAAGCACCAATCCATATTTCTTAAGTACTGGAAGTATGCAAAATAAGCTGTCCTTACACATTTCTTAGGAATCTGATTTACAAGACGATTTAAAAGATATACCACTCGAGATAATCTTGAAGATAAATAACCTATATGAGCATTACATGTGAGTTGATTATCAATATGAAGGCCCAAAAATGTTACAGCTGTGGTATTATTTAGATCACAGTTAGTGGGAATCTGTTTAAGTGTAAAAATCATGTTTTGGGTTTTTTCTTCATTTAGCAAAAAGCCATTAGTTTTCAAACCAATTTGATGCATTAACACGTTCAGTGCGGCAGGCACTCCAACAAGCGCTCGCCAATTGCGGCAAGGCCCGGGCGAAGCCCCGGCGCGGTACCGTAACAGCGAACGCAATTGGCATTAAAATATTTAAATGTGACGAATAACAAAAGAGCAGCGGCGATTGTACTACGTTACAAACAAAAAAAGCCCCCAAAAAAATGAAATCTAGCCCGAGATTGGACGTAGTTCCCTAAAACACCCAAAGGTAGCAGCACTGCCTGGATCAGTAGTCAGTGGCTTTGTAATATGGCTTGAAGAGAGAAAATAGCCGAAACCGGGACAAAAGCATTGTCAGACGGGATTTTAAGATAAATTTTAGTACCAACCAATACCAAAATAAAGCTCACATTCTAAGCCAGAGGCTAGCAACGATTTTAACGTTCCCCAGCAATGGCTGAGCTCATACTGAACTAATGTAGTGGGGGTTGCGCAACTACATCAATTGATGTAGGCCGCTTGTGGCGCGACTACATCAATTGATGTAGTCAGCGCTGAACGTGTTAAGCTTTGTTTCATGGACAAGATTTTTGAGTTCGTTAGGTTTACATGAAAAAAGTCGTCAGAATAAAGAATAGTTTTACTGTTTACTGCCAATGGAAGGTCATTAAAATAAATTAGGAATAAAAGTGAACCAAGGACTGAGCCTTGTGGAACACCCATTTAACATTCTTTTCTTGTGGCGTATTACCGTAAATACTCACAATTTGTTTACGGTTGTTTAGGTAAGATCAAACAAATTGTAGAGATGGCCTTGGAAACCCATAATTTTGTAATTTGATGATAAGAATTTTAAAATCCACACAGTCAAATGCCTTGCTCATGTCACAACAAGTGCCCTGATCAAATAACTTATTTTCAAACGACTCATGAATTTGACTAATTAGATTATCAAGAGAATCAATAGTGGACATTCCCTTTCTACAACAGTAGGCAAATCGCAGTTGGCAAATCGGGATACATTAAACAATGTTACTCCTCCTGTACTCCTCAATGTACTCATAAACTTGTTTAAAGACCAAGATTTCAATTAATTTACCAATTACCGGTAAAATGCAAATAAACAATGGTTGGTAAGAACCACAAACAGACCAGGAGTCCTGTGCACAATGTCTATGAAGTTGTCCCACGTCTGGTAGACGGCGGAGGAGGTGACCTTGGGGCCAATGGTGGTCTTCTTCTCTATTGCACTCATCATCCACGCTTGGTACACTCGATCCCACAGATCCAGCACTCGATCTTCCACCTCTAGCGCCTTCTCTTCACTCACCTCACTCAGCATATTTCTGACCTGCAGGAAAAATCTAGTGTCAAACCGTTGGGCATTGACTAAATTGTTCCATCAATGAATCACAAATACACTAGTTTGGCCTGCTTGAAATATTGTGATCATACATGTCTGAAGACATTTGGGCAAGACCAAAATTTGACATACCTAGGCTAAATGTTTTATTGGTAGGAGCCAGTTTGTTCATTAGTTTGATCAAAAATCAAGTCTGTCTTGTTTTATAAAAATATTGGTATAGATACCTGCTTTGTAGTAATCCAAATTGTTGAAATGACGCAAATATTGGTGCTGTGTTCAACCAACTGTTTCCTAATTTATTTATTTCTCATATGACTTAACTTAAAAAATATACCTCTATGGAGCCAACGACGTTCAACACTAGAAATCAGCTGTGCGCTTCAATGTTATTGTTATGCTTTAAAGTATTTTCCTAACCTAGCTTTTGTTTGTAAAAGAACGTTACTGTTAGAAGATGAGTGAAATAGATAATGAAATATATTGTACGTAACCCCATGTATATTGTCGGGTCAGGTACAATCTTGTACGTTACACGTTACGCAAGAGCGTGTTTACATCACTTAGGTGAATTATGCAACTCACTTCTGCTCGTTGCACAACATTCACCTGCGTGATGTAAAAACGCTCTTACTACACTTGTAATGTAAACATCTATTATAACTTCCTGTATGGCCATCACTTTACTCTTTTAACCAACCACAAACCATTGACAACCACCAAAGCATTGACAAAGCACAAATTATTGATCTATTTGACACCATGTTTGGTGACAAAAAAGGTGGGCTATACCAATTCTAGCAGCCACTAGATTACAAAATTATGCTGTTTTCGTTGAAACTTTTCATTTCAACATCAAATACAAATCTTCGGATGAAAATGCAGATGCCTTATCCCATTTACTTTCAAATATTTGCCAAGAAGTTAACCAAATAGACAACTTATATAGGCTTACCTCCGTCAGTAGTCCAAAATTTTGGACTACTGACGGAGGTAAGCCTATATAAGTCATTATTCGTAGTCCAGGGGCTATCAGAATGAATAATATAAATAGACAACGTTGATGTTTTTGAAATACAACTCCAAACCCTTCCTGTTTCAAGCAAACTAATAGCAGAAGAAACTCAAAAAGATGAGGAACTGTCAGACATCTATGAAGCTCTTAACGAAAGAAAGCTCATAAAACAATTCAAGTGAGTTCAGAGAGACACTGAATCAGAATAGAAAAAATACAAAATGAAAATGGGAAAATGGGGTGCTTATTGAAAGGTCATAGAGTTGTAATACCAAAATCATTAAGAAACAAAACTCTCAAGAACTTCATGAAGCACAGAAAGCTTTAGCTCGCTCCTATGTCTGGTGGAAAAATATTTACAATGATATTTAAACAGTGGTTTGAAATTGCAAAAAATGTCAAGAGCATCGTAATGATCCAACCAAAGTAGCCTACCTGTGCATCCATGGTCTACTCCTGAAAAACCTATGATAAGAATTCACGTTGACTTCGCTGGACCATTCATAAACAGCTACTTTTTAATTATTGTGGATGCATACCGTAAATGGCCAGAAGTTATTCCAATGAATTCTACAGCTACTAACAAAACCATAGATTGTGTGCGAACTTTCTGAACTTTCTGAAGGTCTGAACATATCTTTCAACCTGCCCATTGGTAGCCGGATGATATGGAGCAGAACGTTTATGGCATATCCCATTCAGTTCTAAGAAGTTTGCAATTTTGGCATTCCACATATCTTGGTTTCAGATAACGGTCCACAATATACTTATCAAGAATTAAAAAAAAAAACTTCTTACAACTAAATGGAATATGCCATAAACGTTCTGATCCATATCATCTGGCTACCAATGGGCAGGTCGAAAGATATGTTCAGACCTAAAAAACAATCCCTTAGGTCTATGAAAGATGAACCTGGTTCCCTGAACCAAACGGTTGCCAAATTTCTCATAGCATATAGGAGAACACCTCATGCAACTACAGGGTTAACACCTGCTCATCTTTTCATTGGCAGACCTTTGAGGTCAAGGCTTGATTTGACACTTCTTAACTCTTCAAATACTTGCACAAATGACCAGCCTATCCAACAATCTTATGAGAGGAACTTTAAAGAAGGAGACTCTGTTTCTTTTAGAATCTACGGAATGCTACAAAAGTCGAGATTTGAAAGGATTTTACAAAAACTGGGCTCGTGCCACTATAATATTGAATCTGGAAAATTCCACCTACAGGAGAGACATTGATCAAATAAGATCGGTCGATTCAAATTTAAGCGGTGAGAAGGACGACCGAGACTACTTTATTAATATCAAACTTCCTTTTAAGGCCTACAGTTCAAGATCAAGAACTTCAGGGAGCAAATGATCATGTGATCAACAACCATACTGAAGATGAAGGTCTCTTTAACAAACCTCTAGCTGCTCTACCAAACGGTCAAGCCTCAAACCCTGCATTAAGAAGAAGCTCAAGGAAAAAATAACCGGTTACAAGAATGAACAAGTGATTCCAAAAATTAGGTGAGAGGTGCTGTGTTCAACCAACTGTTTCCTAATTTATTTATTTATCATATCACTTTGTTTACATAATTTTTTCACTGATAAGAAGCTATCTTACAAGAATTTGGTATAGAATAAAAATATGTATATAAAACATAAATCTACTTTCTTTTCATAGTGCATAGCAATTGGGATTACTACGAAGTAGGTATTTAACCAATTGTTATATTAATGAAACTTTAAATAGGCTAGGCTTAAAAATTGGAACCAGTATCATTTGAAGTATTAGTATTTGTAATTAAAATAAAGTATTAGTAATTGAAATAAATAATTAAACATTTAGTACCCTTTAGTTATCGTTATAGTTATCATTGACTATTATCCATTAGTCAATGATAATAGGTAGGATTGACTAAGAAATAGTTCAATATTTCTTAGTTAATCCTACCTATTCATAACAATTTACTATCATAGTAACATTCAAATTCCATAAATAACAGATTACATTGTAGCCAAATGACACTGAGGATTCATAAAATACTGGACAGGATTGGGGCTATATTATAAGAGAAACATTCTCAGAGATATGGAAAGGAAACCCAAAATACCAACGCTGCAGGATAGAAGTGGCCTAATTTCCATCAGGATTACATAAGCAGAGAAGAAAATTTTATGATAAGCGATTTTTATAGGTTCTATCTAAGTCAAAAGTCAGAAAATAGCAGAAAAAACCTAAAACAAAAAAGTAGCTTGATTACATGCATAATTGAAATATTCACTAACATGTAGTGGTTGACTACCCAGCTCTATTATGGCAGTAAAACAATATGTAATTAAAACATTTAGATTTGAAACACAGTGGTAGGTTAATGTTGGACAAACTTTTGGCAGTTAGCCTGAAGGTAATTGTGCATGATGTCTCTGATGAGTAAATATATATAAGAATAAATAGCTTGCAAAACTATGAAGGAATAGAACTTACAAACTTGGATATTGCCTGTCGACCGTAGATGTAGGCATTGTTGAGTACAGAGTTGAGTTGTTGTTCCAAACCCTCGGGCAGCAGCTGGGTCAACTCTGGGTTGTGTACAACTGTCTGGTTGATCACACTGCCTCCCACCTTCATCATGTACATACCCTCTGTGTACGCCTGCACAACATCACCAACTTAGATATGACAACCACTTTAGTATTTTAGAAATATTTTAACCTTTTAACTATTTTTATTATCGTCAACGAGATCTATTATAGGCACATTGGTTTCAACAGAAATATGAAACTTGGGAAAGTAACCTCAATTTAATTTGTTTGAACACCGATTAATAATTGACACTCTCATTCTGAAACAATTCAACTCAAATTCAGCAATTCACTCCATGCACAGTAGGCAAATAACCTTTGACTTTATTTGAACTTATTTGACTTTGACTTTAACACTCTGAAATAGTGTTTTGATGTCAATTTCAGTCAAATACAGTCGAACCTCTATAAGACGAATTTCAAGGTATAGGGGAAAAATTTTTATTATCGATTTATTATAAGGAGGTTCGTTTTATCGAGGTTTAATATCATCTAAGTTCAGTATAAAAAATTGGCTACAGCTGATCCATATACATAGGATGTCAACTTCAAATTCAGAATCCATAATTTAATGGTGTTATTTTCCACACATGACTTAAATACCACAAGTAACATAGTATTTTTAGTTTTTTTCAGCATATTTTGAACAAGTATGAATTTTTTTTACCAAGAGTGTTTAACCTACCTGTATCACAAGGAATGTAGATCCAAATATCACAACAAAAAGCAAAGCTAAAATAACAATCACCGTAGCTGCAGAATCACTTGAGTCCTTCAGAATTGAAAGGAGGCGGCTTCTGACTTCACTGAACATCTAAAAATAATATATCACCATGAAATAATCAGGAAACTTATAAAAAGTATTTTAGTCATACTCTCTCAATTTAAGAAAGCAAGCTATCATAACTGAAATAAACTAGAGTAATTTATCTGGATCGTTATAACTGAACTATGGATGGTCATTTATCTTGATGGTCACAGTTTCACTTTGATATACATTTTACCACAAGATGCTGTAAACTGTGTTGAAATGAACATTAAAGTGAAACACCTAACATCGAGGTAAATGGTAAAAATAGATAGCTAACAAACTGTGAGAGGACAACATAGCCAATCAAAATGTTTTTTTTAAATATTGGAGGCAAAAAATGTCTAGTTTCTGTAGGCTTTTAGTTTAGGTGATAACACTTTTTCCTGACAATCACCACTGCAAGGATCCAATTATCTTAAACAGCCTATTTCTTGAACATTGTTGCCACCAGGACTGATGTACAGATTATATTATATGTTGCGTACCTTTTTATTCCGCCTCCAGTCCTTAATATAGTCAAGGGTGACTAGTTTTGGGCCAGAAATTACCCATTTTAAAACCCATGTCATCAAATTGGTTGGTCCATAAATCCAACAGAAGTCTTCGTTTTAAGATATACATGTCGACACATAAAGTTCTTACATTTTTTACATAAAAGAAATTTAATGATGGTAGCCGGCCACATTTATAAGGGACACACTGACGCCGGTAGCACGGCGGACACGATGGAACAATATCCGTCGGAACATCAATCGTGTCCGCCGTGCTACCTGCATCAGTGTGTCTCTTACAAATGTGGCTGGCTACTATCATTAAATGTCTTTTATGTTAAATATGTGTGAACTTTATGAGGCGGTTCACGAGTACGAGGTTACCCGCGCTCGGGCGCAGACAGATAAACTTCACCCAATTATGACAGGGATAAACCCGAGCGCAAAAAGTCGGCTTCACGGGTTCAATTAGAGAAAACCCCGGCCCAAATGTCGGGTTCACGAGTCATGGTCTAGCGCAAACTGGATAATCTCGGGCGTAAATAACAATGGTTTTGGACTTCAACTTAACCCTGATAGGGGGCAGGGTTAAGGTGACATCATGTCGGGATTATCTCATTTGCTCGTTTATTGTTTTTTTGTTAGCAAAAAGAATGTTATATTCGGATTCGCCATTAAATTCTGAACAATTTCATTACCCTCAACATGATATTTATTTTTTTAATTTTTCTACTACTGATTGCCGAAAACATGCAAAACATCGTAAAAAGTTGCTGTTTTTAATTTTAATTAATTACTAAATAAAAATATAATTAATAGCTTAACATAGGCCTATTTATATAAATTTAAATTGAAAATGAATTTTATAACGTTACTGTTTTACTTTTTTTTAATCACTTTTGAACACTTTTATTTCAGCCGAATAGGCCTGATTGCAAAATAAAAATGGTTCCGACAAATACTGTTAGGTTTGTCTAAGAATTTTTATTGTATAATTAATATAGGTCAATTTATTTAAGTTTCCACATTTCATTTTGTATCTTTTAAATTATATGTTTATATTATTATGTTTATGATTTAACAGTTGAAAGGCATTTCATCTGATAATTTCTTAATATTTGTCATATCGGGTTTTACAATAAAATGCTTCAATTTGCCGAGATAAAAGGTAAATTCTATAGTTAAATATACAAAAAGTTGTATTACAACAATAAAAAAAAAATTTAACCTGTTTTCTTACACCTAAGATTTATCATGCTTAAAGTCTGAGTAAACCCAGTATAAGGTGTAGCTACATTTTATGTTTTGTTGTGGTGTTTCCAGACCAACTGATTGACAAATAAATAAAAGGTTAAAATACCTGATTGTCGCCTTTGTGGTCCAAAGTATTGTCCTAGTGGATTATGTACAATTCGGCGCGAGCGCCATCGTTGGATCCGTATAGGACAATACTTTGGAGCACAAGGCAACAATCAGGTTTTTTAACCTTTTATTTATTTGTAGCTACATGCTGAGGTATTGAAAAGAGCGCGAAATACTAACTAGGGTGTCTACTACCATCTGATTTATGCGTTTATCGTAAAAAGTAACTGTTGAGACATTTTAATTAATTATTACTAAGTAAAAATATAACTAATAGCTTAACATAATCATATAAATTTAAATTGCAATCGAATCTAATTGCGTAAATGTTTTATGTTTATTTTAGCAATTTTGAATCCTTTTATTTCAGCTGAATAATATCAAAATAAAAATGGTTCCACCAAACACTGTTAGGTTTGTCTAAGAATTTTTATTGTATAAAATTAGTACAATTTTTGTTCCTCCATAAAATTCATATAAAACATAGGTCAAAAACATATTTCATTTTGTATCCAAATTTTATTTTGTATCTTTTATATTATATGTTTATATTATTATGTTTATGATTTAACATTTGTTAAAGAAAGACCTTTTCATCTGATAATGTCTTAATATTTGTCATATCGGGATTTACAATAAATTGCTTCAATTTTCTGAGTTAAAAGATAAATTCTATAGTTAAATATACAAAACGTTGTATTACAATAATAAAAAAAATTATATCCTGTTTTTATACACTAAAGATTTCTCATGCTTAATGTCTGAGTAAATCCTAAGGTGTAGCGACATTTCATATTTTGTTGTGGTGTTTCCGGACCAACTGATTGACAAAAAATAAAAGGTTAAAATACCTGATTGTCGCCTTTGTGGTCCCAAGTATTGTCCTAGTGGATTATGTAAAATCGGCGCAAGCGCCATCGTTGGATCTGTATAGGACAATACTTTGGACCACAAGGCAACAGTCAGGTATTTTAACCTTTTATTTATTTGTAGCTACATGATGATGTATTGAAAAGAGCGTGAAATACTAACTAGGGTGTCTACTGCCATCTGATTTAGAAATTCCACTCCTCTACACAGTTAAGTACTGAAATGAAATATTCTAATATCTCTTAGCCTATGACCAGTGTTCAATATTTATTTTGTTTCTCAATAAAAGAAAAATATCTACGTCACATATTGCAATCACTTTCAAACAAAAATATCAACGTTTTATATTATAATTTTTTACGTATATAAGGGCATCCCGACTCTTATTGTTCCTATCCAAATTTATTTTTTTCACAAATTACGGATACATAAAAGATAATCATAAATCTTTGAAAAGAACATTCATTTTATGAAATATTTTGAATGTTTGGTTAAAACTGCAAACCTGATAAGTATGTTGTATATTTGAACATAAATGGTGATCTAAATTTAGATTGCAGCCATTACCAAGATTTGTTTTAACAAATGTTATTAAAAACATAATTGTATTTTCCAGATTCAATGACATGTCAGTAAAAGTATATTATTCATTTCGTAATTCAATTATTAATCCAGTAACTTTAAACTTTAGTATAGCATGAATTTAAGTGCAAGTTTTTAACCTTTTTATGCAACATCAGTAAACCCTCTGTAGAATTGAAATAATTTATCACGTCATTCTATTGTTTTGGGACTCGTCGACCGCGAGCAGCGGCTCGGTAGGTAGCCCACGTGGCTGTTGCCAACCTTATAACGAAAGTTCCCCGTTAGATCCCTGCTGTTGAGCGACGGTCAGCGTTGGTCTCGGCTAAGCTTGATCTCGGCTAACGCTCTATGTCGTGAACCCATTTTTTGGCCGTCGGTTAAAATTGGCCGAGAACAACGATAACCGCGGGCCACGAAACCCCGTACTCGTGAACCGCCTCTATGTGTTGACATGTATTTATATCTTATAACGAAGACTTCTGTCGGATTTATGGACCGACCAATTTGGTGACATGGGTTTGAAAATGGGTCATTTCTGACCCTAAACTAGTCACCCTTGACTATATTAAGGACTGGAGACGGAATAAAAAGGTACTTAACCTATCATATCAGCCTATTTCCACCCGGTTCGTCCTTTATGGATATATTGCATTCAACCATTTGTATTTAAGTCCATTGAAACTCTCAGGTCAGGTCATGATTCCAATTCCAAGGGATCTTCCATACGTAGTTCCCTTATCAATTGAGACCGTGACTGTCCCTTTTTTAAGCCATCTCCTTGTCCACTCCCCTCTTCTTACCTAACTCTTCTTGTAACTCTTTCAAGACTCACTGATTAATTCCCGGCACCGATCATTATATATTACTAGAGAACCCGTGCGGCTCAATGAGCCGCATAGTATGAAACATAACGCCGAAAACGTTATGAAATTGTTATGCTTAATAAAGTAATTCTAGTTAGGCCTACCTCTTAGAGTTGTTTAACACTTGTTAGAAACTATTTTTAAATATCTCTATTTGCGTCGTCAATGTTCACCTGCATTATTTCTGCTCTCAGTTTTAACTGATAGCTTCTAATGAATGCTAAACGATCTGCTTCAATTCGAGCTAACATGTTGCAACAAAGTTTTTCCAAAATTGAGAATTGAATAAAACTGTTGCCTAGACATCCCCCTAATCAAACGAATTTTCTCCGTAAAGAATCCTGAAAAGTGGGGTGATTTCAACCATTTAATGTGCTCCATTTTTTACCCACAAACTCTGGGTTATCAACTGGAAAGCTATAATCTGCTTTGAATAGGCTAAAGCAGCAACACCATTGATAGTTTATTAACGTATTTTACCTACGACCGTTTTTTAAAGTAGCCATTTCAGTCCAGTTCTTAGAATTGAAAAGTTTCACTTTACAGCTGTTTACTTTCATATCCGCATAGTTTTATTTCATATCCGCATAGTTCTCATATCCACACAGGTAACGGACCAATGAGGTTCAAGTATTGAGAGAAAAGAATTAAAATTGTAATGCGTCGAACGTCAACTAATCAGCTGATCACCTGATCAGTTGACCAATTTAATTGTTGATCCGACTTGTTCATGTTGATACTCGCGTATGCTTAATTAAGTTGGTGGAAGTCCAAAAATAAATGAAATATTTGCCGAATTGTACCTGATACAATATTATTTATGGTAAGAATGCTGCTAGCAATGTAATATTAAACGAAGTTTAACAAACACGTAATTACAGGAAATCAGCTGATTATACAACAAGTCGTTGCATCACTTTCAGTGGCAATGACAATACACGAAATCATAACCTCTCTAAAAAGTTATTAGTAGTGATTGTTAGTAATTAAATCCAGATTGATAGTAATTAAAAAACGGTCGTAGGTAAAGTAGTGTACGCAACTCGCGTTAATAGTCTTTACGACACTCGTAGAAGTTTTTAAGGCACGAGCCTTGGCGAGTGCCTTAAATTTTCTACTCGTGTCGTAAAGACTCACTTAACGCAATCGTTGCGTAAACTACTATTACCGTGTTGTGTGTTAGTCACAGTATATACCCCGCATCAGAACGTCCTCACGTTGTTCAGTGGGGTTTCTGTTAATACCTGTCCTAAAGTTTTGAGAGTATGGATTCATTTGTCGAAATATGTTGGAAAACTTTTGTAGCTATAAGATGTGGATAGCAATTTTCATTTTCTCTTTTTGAACAGCGTATATTATTTGCCTCTCCTGAATCATAAAAATAAACTTGACTGTAACTACTCGATCGTTGAATACATAAACACTAATTCCTTCACTTATGTCTAATATTGCCACTAAAATTCAGTCAAAAAACTTGTTATACGTTTGTCCGAGGAACTGGCAAAATAACCTAGAAGTAAACAATCCATTTGTGTTTTTCCTCAATTAAAGTAGAGCGAGTAATACAAAAGTTTACAATAAAAACATAAAGTCCGCCAATATTTGGTATAATCTTACTACTTGAACTTATCAACTCAAGGCATTATTATGGTTTCTACTAAATGTTTTGAAATATCTCGATCTGTCAGTGTCATAAGTAAAAATTTCTTGCATACATTCATTTGATGTGACTTTAGGCAAGTTTATTTTACAACACTATGGGCTTCGTATATTTTTTCACTTCCAAAGTAAGCTGCATAGCAGAACTGGCAAATATTATTCATCTCACCAAGTGCATGTGTATATGGATGTGTATCTTTTAGATCAGGCCTCTCTTTCTCTACTCTCCTCATACACATGAGATACCTTATTATTAATTGTCTCCTCCTCCCGTTTTCAATATTTCTTCTTTCAACTTGAGGCATTTTCCGTTCTTCCTACAAAACTGATTAACTGTTTAACTTGGTCTTAACCTACTGAATATTAAAACATTAATATTTACTCCCAAAGAGCTAATGCGTTTCTTTTTATAAACAGCTGTTTTTTGTTTTTAAATTTGTTCAATGTATTTCTTATGGGGAAAACCCGACCTTTGAGAGGGTCTCACGCCCTTAAGAGTAGAACTTTTAAAGTTCTAAGACCTTATTGCAAAACTACATATTGAGACGAATCTTTTGACACCTTAAACGTTAAAAATGGTCCACAAATAAGGGAGGAGTTGTGTTAACAAAATACGGCTTCACGTATTATATATATAAAATTTTTAAGTCCTCACGGGACATCACAGACGATGAGTACTCAGCCATGTTTCATTGTCAAATGTCTAGGCAATTGTTGACCCCGTGTAAACATGCCCTCGTTCAACATGACTGGCCTACGACAATTCTGCAACCACGTGATGACAATTAGCGACAACAACTGTCTCACCAACTGGCATCGTGTAAACTCGGCTTAATATCTAGGCTTAGTCAACTAAACTTATTACTTTCTAAATTATTTTTTCCACCTCGAAAGACTCGACTACTGAGGTGGTAAGCTTTTCCAGCCTATTACAATGTCAGTTTGTTTATAGTTAGTTTATGTTAGTTTATATGACAATTTTAGGAACTTTTCAACTGAATAGTAAAGCTCTTTGGATATGTTAACTATTGTCGGCCTAAGTAGTCATTAAGTAAGTAATAATTGGATACATTGCACGATGTCCAAGTGCCATGACGTCCAATAATATTATTCGGTGTCACAACATCCAAAATATAATTTTTGAGCTGTTGCACGAAATCCAAAAAAAATATTTGACTGTTGCACGACGTCCAAACGTACAGTAACTGCAAAAAAGATAGTCTTTCTACAAGAATTGGACGCCTTGGGATTGGTCGTCGTGTAACAGCACACTTTAAATTTTTGAAAAAAGTAACAGTTGCATGACGTCCAAAACCCTGCTATGCCTGTTGCACAACGTCCAATAGCTCAGCGCTGTTGCACGACGTCCAAAGCACATGCACACTGCGAGTACTGTTTAAGCGTCTTTATTGGATACTAACCTAACCTAACCTAACTTAACCTAATCTAACCATGCTCCGTATGCAGGAGCTTTGGACGTCATGAAACAGCGCTGAGTTATTGCAACAGGCATAGCAGGGGCTTTGGACGTGGTGCTAATGCTAAGTTTTTCAAAAGTATAAAGTGTGCTATTGCACAACGTCCAATCTCATGACGTCTAAAGCTTGTAGAAAGACTACATTGTTTGAAGTTACTGTACTTTTGGACGTCGTGTTACTTGAACATTGTGCAACAGTCAATTATTTTGTATTGGATGTCATGCAACAACTCAAAAATTATGATTTGGACGTTGTGGCACTGAATAATATTATTGGATTTCGTGGCACTTGGCCAACACTCCCTAATAATGTTTCAAAGTAATAAAGTGTTAACTTCATAAAAAAAAACTCTCAAACAAGAATGTCTTTTTATACTGAAAAACAGTACTTACTTCAGAAATTGTTTGGTCAACTTACAGTGTTCAAACACAAAATCGGAGCAGGAATCAAGACATTTTTTCTGACAAAATACCATTCGGAAATCCAGTCCATAAATAGGCAGTATTTTGAATGAACAAAATCAGTCACACCAAAAGATTTACCTAAAAAAAAAATACATTCTGTATTCTGATGATTGTGTCAACCAGTTGTTGGTTTTTAACATAAGACAAATGATTCATCTGTTCTGTATATTTAAATAAGGTTTAATGTTTAGTCATCCAGGATAAAATGCTGATTAAAACATGTTAAAAATAAAAGAACTTTACATGTGCATAAAGGTAAAATTAAATTTCTTTATTGTATTACGGTTCAAAAAAATCTATCTACAACAATCATGATACATCTATAAGGATAACATAGGAGACAATGTACTGAATTAAGCACTTTTTTATCTTGGTCACCAATATGACTGATAATGGAAGTTCCTTCACTGTTTGACTATCTAAGCCAATATGAATAGTGGAAAAAATACTTTGTATATATAAAATATGTTTTTTGGAGTACAAAAGACTCATTACTAGGGTCAGTTCAGGCTGATCTAATCTGCAAACATATAACAATTTAACTGAATGTATTTTTGACCTCTGGATACCCTAGCAAAAGAGTGCAGTGATCATAGACCTTGGTCTTACCATGAAGGCCGCAGTAAAAGCTACTACTAAAGGATAATTCCCTGAAACAGGTTACTTTAGTTTGTAAAATTTTTTTATTAAAAGACCTACAAGTGAACATTAATATTAACTTATGTTATTGTACATTTGTTATCAACACAGTTTAAACTTAGTGATTCACTATGGCCAAATAAATCACTTAGGCCTACGCTATATAGTTTTTCTCTTGTCTTACCCAAACAAAACACTACAGATTTTTGTTTTCTTTTATTGAGCAATTCTAGAACACTACTTACAAAGATGTCTGATAATGTAGACTAGGAACAGTAGGGCTAAGACGTAAGGTATCCAACCTGACTGCAGGATCAAGGTGATGACACAAGCAACGCTCACCCAGTAGATGTAGTAATCGCTGGTGTTGTCACTTGTGTACCACCTCACTTGGTGCAACAACATCTGCACAGTGTCGGGCGGACAAACTCTACAACAGCAGGCAAAATAGATTTCATGCAAGACTATGTTACTAACGTAATTATTTTGTCGTTAGAGCTCAATCAGTCAAATCTGTACATGTTTCGATGTCAAGACACGAGACATCTTGGTCAGCAACTTGAGTAACACTTCAGCCAGTCAAAAAAGGTTTGTTGAAACATTTACGATGACCAGGACTGGTTTTATGTGACAGACTATCAGGCAGTTTGTTAATTATAAATATCACCATCTTCAATTAAATGTGAAAGGTGTGGATCGATTCTGTTTTTAACAATCATTTGGAATAACTACATAAGTTTTCAACTCGCAACTAAGCCTTAAATCATTCCAAAAGCTATTTTGAAGTCTAAAAATATGAACTAAAAATACCCTCCCCGCAGAAAACCTGCAGATTCCCTAAAAATTGTCAGATTTATTTCTCTTATTTAATTAACATTAATTTTAGTGAGAACCTAGGTTTGCTGCTACAGGGAAGATATTAAGATGTGTTTTTTTTTATTGCAATGTTGATAGCTTAGTATTAAATAAACAAAATGTCCAAATTTGGTTTAAATACATCCATAAACAAGCAAACAGTTTAATTATTCTCCATAAGAATAATATGGGACTTTTAAATTTACAATTTTTTAAATTATCTCCGTAACTGTTGGCCATACAACAACGCTTCAATATTCAAAATAATTTTTTTTTTAAGCTCTACAAAATGGTTTGGAGAGAAATTATGAAATTTTCTGTTTTTTGGGTCAAAAAATGGGAAAAACCAATTTTTACCCTCATGAAACCCCCCATACACCCCCGTTCCCATAGTCCGATTATGCAGGTTCGCGAACTTGTTCGAATAAAAGTAGGTTTACACATTTGTACCAAATTTAATCAAAATCGGATCATTTTTACTCGAGTTATCACGCTAACGCCGTAATCACGCACATATATATATGTGTGTTTACAAAACGAAAAAGTAAATCGGTCCCGGGTCTGAGACCTGCGGTAAGAGCTTATTCCCTATAGGGAAAATTCGCTAAAACAGATTCAATAATTAATAGGTTCTGAAATTGTTATCCGTCATGTTTCAACCCTATTTGACTAATCAAATCAAATCAAATCAAAATCATCTTTATTCATTTTTATATACAATATGTATACATAAATGGCGTCAATATAAAACTATTACTAAACTTAAAGACTAACATAGTGTTGCTTAGTTTTTGTATGGAATTCATTAAAACTATAAAATGCACCTTCAATTAGAAAAGATTTTAAAACATTTTTAAAATTGCCAGAGGTTATTTTATTTTTAATTGAAATTGGTAGGCTGTTAAAAAAGATAATCCCATTATAGCTTGGCTTCTTTTTAAAAAACTCTTTGTTATGTTTTGTAATTTGAAAATCATGTCTTTGTCTAGTATTATATTCATGTTTTTCAAGATTTTTTGATAATGTGCCAATTATGTTCTTTATATAGAGAATAGTGTTAAAAATATAAAGGCTGTAAACTGTCATTATCCCTAATTCTGAAAAATAAGTTTTACAAGGAGTGTCATATTTTAGTTTTAACATAGTTCTTAATGCTTTTTCTTGCCAACATAAGATTCTATTCATGTTAAAATTTGAAGTAGCTCCATAGACTTCAATGCCATACGTTATGTGTGAATGAATTACTGAATAATAAACCGATTTAATTGTTTTCAAATCACAGAAATTTGACAGTCTCTTTATAGCAAAGATACCAGAACTAATTTTAGAGCAGACTTTATTAACGTGACCTGTCCAATTAAGAGTACAGTCCAACGCTAAACCTAAAAAATTAGTATTTTCACAAAGGTTGAAAGGTGGCGCTGTTGAAGTAATAGATTTTGACTTCCTGCAAGAAAATTTAATAATTTTTGTTTTATTTTTATTAATTAATAAATTTAAGCTATTTAGTTGGTCATTAATTATATTGATTGCAGTGCCAATTTCAGAAAAAACTTTATTAATATTTCTGTCAGAGATTGTTAAATTAATATCATCGGCAAAAATACTGAATTTGTTATTAGCTGTAAGTGTATGTAGACAGTTTGGCAACTTTCCCAAATAGCAAAGAAACAAAAATGGTCCAAGGACAGAACCTTGTGGTACAGAATAATTAATAGATCTGGTTTTTGAATTGATTTTAAAAGCTTTATTATTTTCAATGTGTGATATTTCTACATATTGTTGGCGATCTGTTAAATAAGATTCCAACAAAGCTAATTCTTTGCCAGATATACCAAAGAAAGTTAATTTTTTTAATAACAGTGAATGGGAAACACTATCAAAAGCCTTTGTTAAATCTAAAAAAGCAGCTACTGATTGGTTACCTTCATCCAGTTCGTTAATCACATTTTCAACAAAGGCTATTATAGCTGTTACAGTGGATTTTTTTTGCCTAAAACCATGCTGTTCAGTGTCTAACAAATTATTATTTTCAAAATATTCTGTCAATTGTAATAACATGCATTTTTCAAAGAATTTTGACAAAGAGGGTAGAATTGAAATAGGCCTATAATTAGACGGTTCATTTTTGTTTCCTTTTTTATATAATGGAATTATTTTGGATATTTTTAGCTGAGAAGGAAAAACACCTGAAATGAGGCATGCATTTATGACATGAAGAAGTGGTTTGAGAATTGCCCACTTAGCATCTTTAATTATTTTTGTTGGGATATTATCACACCCAGAGGACCATTTGCTTTTGATTGAATTTATTATTTGAATCAACTCCTCTTCTGAAATGGTTTTGAACCTAAAAGTATGATTAGTTAATACTGCATCTGTTATTGGTCTATTTATTATTCTCTTATTCATTTTAATTTCAGGAATAATTATATTCTCTACAAGGTCAGCATAAAAATTATTCAATATGTTGACTACTTTATAAGGATCAGTGACACATTTACCTTGGTGGTTTAAAAATAGCTCTGTTTTTGATTGATCCTTGCTACTGTACAGTTCCTTTTTGATCAATTGCCAAATAGCTTTTGTAGGGTTATCTGATTTATTTATTATGTTTTCAAAATATTGCTTTTTCTTTTGTATTACAAGATTTCTGTATTTCCTTTTTTGCATTTTTAAGTTTTTTTTTACACAAACATTTTTATTTCTCCTTTTTTGTCTATAGTTATCTATGAGCTTAGTCCGTTCATGTTTTATTTCCCAATCAATCCAATTTTTTCTTTGGGGGTTACTTCTAACATTTATTTTTGGAAAGTTTTTATCAAAATGATAGTTCAATACATTATAAAAATATGAAAATTTGTTGTCAATTGGTGTTTGATATAGTTTGTCCCAATTTTCATTTGTCAAATCATTCACAAAGTTTTCAATATTTGGTTTTTTAAAGCAACGTTTCATTTCCCACAGCCTTATATTTTTATTTTTATTTTTGACATTATCCAATTCAAGAATTTGCCCATCGTGATCAGAGAGTGCAGTTACAATACAAATTACCCTTACATATGTCTTATTAATATTTGTAACAAAGTTATCTATTGCCGATTCACAACTATCAGTTATTCTAGTAGGAATATTTACTGTGTAATACATGTTATGTGTCTTAAGTAAACTAACAAAATCAAATTTTTTACAATCATCTGTCAATACATCAATATTAAAATCTCCTCCAATGCATAAATTAGTATTAAAACTTGATAGAAAACATAAAAGTTTGTCCAGGTTTTCTAAAAAACCAGCAATATTTCTTGAAGGAGTTCTATAAATACCAGCTACAATAACCTTAACATTGTTCAATTCTAATTCGACTGCACAAGATTCAAAAATCTTATCTGTGTTTAAATTATCTATTAATGAATTAGTTAGTTTTTTACATCGAATTTCTTTTTTAACTAAAATTAATACCCCGCCTCCTTGATTCACATTCCTTACATAATAACTCACAGTATTATAGCCAATCAATTCAAAATTTTCAATTTCAGTTAATGTTAATTTGTGCTCTGATAAAATAACAACATCTGGTTTAATTTCATCAATTGTGATTTCTAAAGAATCAATTCTGCTACTTAAACATTGTATGTTTTGATGGAAAATATATAATTTCTTACTCTTACTGGCTTTTGAAACAGGTGCTAAATTAGTGTTTGTTTTGGTTTTAGCGAATTTCCCTATAGGGAAGTAGCTATTACCGTAGGTGGCACGGTAACACCTAGACCCGGGACCGATTTACTTTTTCATTTTGATGTCCCCAGAGGCCAAAAACACCATTCGTTCAAATTTTTATATATGTATATATATATATATATATATATATATATATAGACTTATATATATATATATATATATACGTCCGTGAACGCGATAACTTGAGTAATTTTTGTCCGATTTTGATGAAATTTGGTTTAAAGGTGTAAAGCAGGATAAACTTGAATGAGTTCGCGAACCAGCACGATTGGACCATGGGAACGGGGCTTTACGGGGGGTTTTATGGGGAAAAATTGGTTTTTCTCACTTTTGACCCTCAAAACACAAAATTTCCCGATTTCTCTTTAGACCTTTTTAAAGAGCTTAAAAAAACAAATAATTTAGTATATAAAAGTATTTTTGTTCAATTATTAGTAACGGAGAAAATTTAAAAAATTGTAAATTTAAAATTCCCATGTTATTCTTATGGAGAATATTGTCAAATGTTGTAGTTTGCTTGTTTATGGATATATTTTGATCAAACTTGGCAAATTTATTTATTTTGTACTAAGCTATCAATATTTTACTCAAAAACACACTTTATTAGTTTCCTTGTAGCAGCAAACCTAGGTACTCGTTAAACCTAATGTTATTAAAATATATTTAACTGAAAATCAATTCAGACAAATGGAAATTCGCTTAGTCGGCAGGTTTGCTGCGGCGGGGGTATTTTGTTTCTTAAAAAATACTTCTTATGACTAATTAACTTATTATTATTTACATTATCAGTTTCAGTTCTTGTTCCTATGAAATTTTCTTCGATTGAGCGTAGTC